TATATAAACCCTCAAAGTTTTATTTTTTATTCTTATTTTTTTTTAAAGATTTTATTTATTCATGAGAGACAACTGAGAGAGAGGCAGAGACACACATAGGCAGAGGGAGAAGCAGGCTCCAACGCAGGGAGCCTGGCGTGGGACTCCATCCTGGGTCTTTAGGATCACACTCTCTGGGCTGAAGGTGGCGTTAAACCACTGAGCCACCTGGGCTGCCCACTCTAAGTTTTATGTGTTACAAATATCTTCTCTTACTCTGTGGCTTGCCTTAACACTTACAATGAGGCCAACATGAACCAAAACTATAGCTCTAAAACAGCAAATGCAATAATAATAAACAAAGTTTGGAATTTCTTGTTAAGCACCAATCAAGAAAAACACGCACTTTCCCCATTCCGCTTAATGTGACAGTTAAAAAAATTTTCAGACTCAGTACCCTTGATAAGGAAAACCAGTTTCCACATGCAAAAAAACTTTAAGTCTTAGTTTGTAATTCAGCAAAATAAAATGATTTAATAAGAAAAAGGCATATAAAAACACAATTCTTTAAAATTCTGATCCACAGGGATGCCTGGATGGCTCAGTGTTTGAGCATCTGCCTTTGGCTCAGGGCGTGATCCCAGACAGAGTTCCAGGATCGAGTTCTGCATCAGGCTCCCAGTAAAGCCTGCTTCCTCTGTGTCTCTGCCTCTCTCTGTGTGTCTCTAATGAATAAATAAAAATCTTAAATAAATAAAATTCAAATCTACAGAAAATCTTTTCAAAGAGCGCAGTAATCAAACAATAGCCCTTTGGCAGTTAAATCTTACTGAAGACACACAGCTCCTTAAGCTGTTTTTTCATAAGTTTCAAAATGCAACATCCAGGAAACATATTTGAGTGGACATTCAAACAAAGCCGTAACAATCCAACTTCTGTTAAAATTTCAGGAAGGGACAGTCTTACCAAGAAATGTATTAAGCTAGAGGTGTCTAGGTGGCTCAGCAGGTTAAGCATCCAGTGTTTCACCTCAGGTCATAATCTCAGGGTTGTGGGATTGAACCCTCTGGCTCCACACTAAGTGTGGGATTGGCTTGAGATTCTTTCCCTCTCCCCATGCCCCTTTCCCCGCTTGCTCACAGGAGCTTGTGGTACACTCCCTCTGACTAAAATAAATCAATCTTAAAAAAAAAAAAAAAGTATTGGAGATCCCTGGGTGGCTCAGAGGTTTAGCACCTGCCTTTGGCCCAGGGTGCGATCCTGGAGTCCCGGGATCGAGTCCCGTGTCAGGCTCCCAGCATGGAGCCTGCTTCTCCCTCCTCCTGTGTCTCTGCCTCTCTCTCTCCTATGTCTATCATAAATAAATAAATCTTAAAAAAAAAAAAGTATTAAGCTAATTCTAAGGAGAGAAACCCAAATTACCGATTTCATTTAAAATGATCCAAAATAACTGGCTTGTAATATGCAAAACTGCCAATGACATGAAAGTCAAGGAAAGACTGAAGAATTCTTTCAGAATAGAGATTAGGAATCACAACAATAAAGTGCAACATGTAATTCTGAGAATTACATAACATTAATGCCTCATTCTTAGTTTCCTGAGTTTAATGGTTATATTGGAGAGACTGTCCTTGTATTTTAGGAAATACACAATGGTGCTGGGGCACAACACTGGAAATTGTCTCTGGAAAAATGCTGTTTGTACTGAACTTGCAATTTGCATGCACATTTCAAAATTTTTTTAAAATTTTAAAACAGGGAGGTAAGGAACACAAGAAGGTTTATTCAATAAGCTACACTTAAGAGTTTCTCACATTCCAAATTCTAGTTAACCACCGGAAAGTTAACATCAATTTATAGGGACAGAAATTTCAAATGCTTCCAAGACTTAAAACAAGCTAATTCTCTTCCTAACATTGCAAAGTAGACTTTGCTAGTATAGGCTTTAAGTTGCCAAGAAGGGTAGTGCAGAGACCCTCCTTGTAAGGAATCACACAAAACCCCAATTCATAATTCTCTTAATTTGATACATTCAAGTTGCTTTGAGCAATAGTTACTTATGCACCTGTACAAAAAACTGGGTGTTATATTCTAAATTTATTGACAGTAGAAGTGCATCCTGTCCACTTCATTTAAAATGCTGACTGAAAGCCCTGTGCCATGCACTGTGCTGAAGAATATAACACCCGTTGATTTTAAGTTACCATAAAATGAAGGTTTTCAAAAATGCTTCTTCCTATATAAAAACAAAGATACCCCAAAACATATTTGTTGAAAAGATTATTGTCTCTCTGGATCCTCACTAACTGAGCCAAAAGAATTTTTATTTCCCTTTGTTCAATTTAAAAGGTTGTTAAATACATTCTTGGGACATCTGGGTGGTTCAGTGGGTTGAGCATCTGCCTTTGGCTGAGGTCCTGATGCCAATGTCATGGGATCAAACCAGTCATTGGGTTCCTTGCTCAGGGAGTGTGCTTTTCCTTCTCCCAACCCCCTGCTTATGCTCTCTTGCCGTCTCTCCCTTTCAAATAAATAAAATCTTTAAAAAAATAAATTCTTAACATCAAATAAAATTTTAAACTATAAACAATGGTAAAATTCTGGCATATGTGCAAATAAATTGTTCTTCAATGTCTAAGTCTAGGTACCTATGACTAAGATCTAAGTACTAACAGAGAGGAACTCTGATACGGTTTCAACCTGAGGAGCCCTTATAGTAGGATTAGGCCTAAGAATATTCCTGGACCCAGAACTCTCCACATTCAGCCCAATCTCCTAAAATCCTGCCCTTAAGAAGGCTGACATGAAAGCAGAAAGTTTTGCATTTCTAGCAATAGCCTCAAAGACTACAAAAAATTTTAATTTAGATTAAAATAGATAATGAATGCTTCAGAATGGGGCCTCTACGTGCTCAAGGTGCTTTATCCTACTTAAACCGAAAATCTAGGATACCAAAGGAAAAATATAGACTTAAAAAAATGGGATATCTACGTGAAACGTTAAAAAAAAAGAGATACATAAGGATGTTCTAGAAATAATGGCTGACAATATTTTCCAGATCTTAAACTGGAATTTTCTACATAGCCACAGTCATATAATAGAGTTAGCACAGTTATGTTGTTAAATAACGTTTTTTTCTTCACGCCTCCCTTTCTCCTCACCAGCAGTGGAACAAAACATTTTATACACTCAGTGTAAGGTTCACTCTTGGCATCAATTATTTCCTCCTGTGGTACATGCGTCAGCGTCACCTGGAATTTTATAAGCAATTAATTGTAGGCTCTTTCCTCTATTAATAGAAGAGATTAAAAGTATACAAATATCTTAAGTGAGGCATTTGGATAATCAAATTATTCAATAGAAAAACAAAACAACTGGAGTAAAATCTAGGTCTAAACTCCCAGTCCTGAAAAAAAAATAAATTCCCGGTCCTGAAATGAACATCTTGTAAGTTTTCCTGTTACAAAATGTGTTCTTAACTGTTATCAACAAGTTACTACGGTAATTGTAAATGTTCTCACAATTTTAAATTTATAACATGAAAAAAATCTCACAGGAGCTAGGAAACTAGTTGAGAAGAAGAGTGAGAAACTTAGAGGAAATTATACAACCACATACATTCAACAGTTTGTTGAATATTCTTTCAAGTATTTGGTAATCGTGGGCTCATCTTCCCTTATAAAAATATCACTAAAATAAAAAGATCAATGTTTCAAATAGTACCTCTAAGGAGTCACATTGCATTGCACTGTCGCTCTTATCACCATGAGGTACGACTTGTGTGTGTCTTTTAAATTCCTCACCAGTAGTAGTGATTTTTAAAAAACCACCTCGGGGAAGATTTCCCTTTCTCCCTTAAGGTCCCCTCCAGTATGAGGAACGTTAATCTCTATTACACGGTAAGTATCAAAAGAAATCTCTGTATGTATTCGTCTGCATCACTAAATAAAATGCACTTCTACCGTTTCCTAGCATCTGGCACAGTGCCTATTCAATTAATTCCGCGCACGTAGCGAAGTACTCTAGATTTAAAGATAACAAGAACAGATCACGGCAACACAGGGCCCTAGAAAATTCTTTTCAAGTGTTTGGTAAGACGGCACCGCTACTACGGAGGTACCAATAAGTGACTCAAAATAATTCTACGCAGTTAGAATTGCTATAAATTTAAAGGTATTCCAACAGTTCCAATCTTTATTATAACCCATTATATAACAAGTCATCATTATTAAAACACTAAAGACGTAGTGCGTAAACGAGCTGTGTGTCATTGCGACCTGAGCAGGACACCAGTGATTTCAAGAAAAACAACTCCGCGCGAAGGCGAAATCTTGCAGCTTCCCCAGCCGCCCCACCCCCACCCCCGTCTCGTCCACCGTGCTCAAGTCCTTGCAATCGTCTGCATTTCCATTTCGCCCGAGACACACCCCTGACGACCTCAGGACGAGGAAACTCAGCCATGCCTGCTCCTCCCCCGCCTCTGGACCATCTAAGCAGCCCTCGGATCCTCCATTAGCCCCCGAGGTGGCCTGCGGTTCCCGGCCAGGCGGAGCCACAAACAGGCGGCGAGCCCTGGCGAGCCCTCGCGGCTGAGCTCCCCGCTCGTCCGGCCCAGCTCCGGCCCAGCTCTCCCTCCCCCCGTCCCGCTTCCCACCCCCAACGGTCCTCGCCCGTGTCTCACCTCTCCACCCACTCCCGCAGGAAACGCATTTCCTCGGTGTGCAGAACGCTCGGATCCTGCTTACACATTTTCACGAAGGCCCGAAGCTCGCTCACTTTGCGGGGGTCCATGATCCAGAGGCGCTGGCGGGCGGCGGGCGGCGGGCGGCGGGCGGCAGGCGCGGTGAGGCGGCGGCCCGATTCCAGGCGCGGGTACTAGCCCAGCGTGACCGTGTGGAAGGGGGCGGCGACCGCGAAGCAGAACAGACTAGAACCTCCCCGGCCGCGGGCTCCTCCTACTCAACGGTCTCGTGACCCCGGGTCCTTAGCCCGTTCATTCCTACTCCCTCCGCCTCTGCCCCTGCGCACTGCCCAGAACCTTCTAGAAGTATGGCTGTTCGGGCTGTTGCCTGCCTCCCTACGCGGGCATTCTCGTACTAGAAATCTGAGCGAGTTCTCCGGATGGATCGACCCCCTACACGTGGAGCTTTCAAGGAGACGAGACACTGTCCGAATCCTTTAGAATAGGACATTCCGTGCGTGTGGGCATTAGGTGGAGCACGACGACAGGACGCCAAGCTGGCCCTCCGCCTGAAGCCTCAGTCACAGCTCTGCGCGTGACGTCAGCATTCAGCGCCGCCGCGGAAGGAAAGCCCGGAGAGCGGCGCTGGCCGGAAGGGGCGGGGCGCTCGGCCTGGTTTCCTGGCGACGTACTTGTACGGGCGGCCGCTTCTCCGGCTGTTTTTTTCTTTTCCTTCCTGCCGCGCGAGGGAGGCCGTCATGCCTTGGTTACTCTCAGCAACTAAGCTGGTTCCCGCCGTAGCAAGCGCCCGCTGCCGCTCAGGTTAGACTCACCTCCCACGGTGTCCCCTCGGGGGCTTGCTCTCTGAGAAACCTGAGGCGCCCCAGAGGGATCCAAGTTGGTCTCAGGCCATCCCTGGTTCGGCGGACCCTTCTCCTGCTGGGGCCTCCGCTCCCAAACCCTTTGTGCGCTCCTTGGATTTCTTCTTTACCTGCTGCTTCTGGAAAAGGGTGGGCCCTGTGTTCTCCCTGCCGTTGAGGTATTCTGGGAAGCCGGAATGACTGCAGAGAGAAAAGTGTGTGCCGTCCCCCAGAGGGGCTGTCTTCAAAGTTCCTCGGACTCCTAGAAGTTGTGTCAGTTGTCACTAACTTAGGTATCAAAAGTGTCTCGCCTCGAGTAGCTCTTGTTTCTCTTAGGCTACCCTAAAGTCCTATTTTCGTGTTTTCAAAGAGTTGCCTTGAGAGCTGGCTCCAGCATGTACAGGAAACATGTTTAGTAACACAAATGCTTTGAGCAGTTCCTCTCGGAAGAGAGAATGCTTGGAAATACTCCCGGGGCTTTTTAATGTCTGAAAGCTCTGCTCGTAAAGGCAAGCTGCTGGAGTCCAGGAATAATGGGGACCATTCTTTTAGGGTGTACTCTATCGCGAACAGTTAATCTGATGAACTTAAACCTCGATCAGTGAAAGTTGAAACGTCTACCTTGCGGGCGGACCTGCTGTTGGATCATATTTCAGGGTTTTGGCCAATAAGCGAACAATGTGTGAACCAGAGCATATGTTATTTGACATCAAACCTGTGTCTTACCATATATTTCTTATATTATCTACTTTAATGAAATTGAATGATAATTATAAGATTTTTTTTCCTCTGTGAAAAATAAAAACGAATCACTGTCCAGTGCACAGAATTTGCTCTTCGGTTCTAACAGTTAAGCTGCAGAAAGCTGTCCTCCATAGGAGTAGATAAACAGATACGTATTTAGCCTTAATCATAAAAGCCACAATCTATGGTTTAGAGCCGAAACCATCCTTTGCTTGTGACTTTATTCTTGGATTTGTTGAGGCTACGCGTAAAACTTCATTAATGAAAGTTTAACACTAGAAACTGGATTATACTTGCCAAGATCTTTGAAAAATATTTTTGTTATGCTTCACTTTGTTTCAATGCAGTAAGTATTGCATTCCTAACATTAACACCATGAGATAGTTATATGTACATATATATATGTACACACACATTTTGAATGGATGATCTTGGATCTTTGAAAGTCCAATTAGGGCAGATATCTTCATTTAATTGATGAGGAACAGAAACTAACACAGGGTCACAAATTGCAAGTCAGCAATTTGAGTTGTATAATTGCCACCTAGACCTTTTTCTGTTATACCACCACTAGGTCTTCACTCTGGCTTAGCAGGATCCTTTTGAAATTTTTTATTGAACCAAAAAGAATGTTCTCTTCATTCAGTAATTTTTTAGTAGTCATTGTGGATGAATTTCCACTTCCCTGGAGTTGCTCACAGTCTTGTCAGGGTGATAGACAATAGATAAATAACAAGATAACAATGGGTTGTAATAGAGTCTTGACTCAAGTGGCATAGGGACTCAAGAAAGGCAGTAATGGGTTGTAAAAAATGTCATTTGGAGATTTTACTAAATTTCAGAGTTTGAAGAGTCTGTCTTGTGCTCATAAATAGAACTTTGAATGCCTGTGGTGCCCTTGATTGCCCTTCTTTAGAAAGACTCTGTAGTACAGAGTATTGAGTACAATAGGAAACTTTCTCATCAGTGAAAGTCCTGCAATCCTAAGGTGAGAGTGTTGACTAAAGAATAAGTGATTTTTTTTTAAAGCTTATTCGTGGTTGATTCATTCAACAAACGTGGAGCACCAGATATGAACATGGAACGTATTTTCTATCATTATGGGAGATAAAAACGCAAGTAATTGTAATATAATAAGTTTAGTAACAGTGGCGGAGAGAAGGAAAAAGTGATAGATGTTTTCTGGCAGCAGGGAGGAGCCAGGAGGAAATGTGGGCATGTCCTTAAATATTAGGAGATATTTAAGACTTGAAAAAGGCTTTTACCAAGCAGACTAGAGTAACAGAGCCATCCTGGCAGAGGGAGCCTATGCAAAGGCATGAACAAAACTTTTCAATTGTCCATAAGCTTGGAGGAGCTTTCTTGAAATATGTTCCTAGGCATGTGGTAGGTGTTACACCAAAATGGTTCTGTTGTCAAATAAGTTTGGGGAATGCTGCATTTCATCATGCCCATAATAGACTAAATCTCTAAGAAAGAAAAGTATTTGGAAGTGATTTGCAAACTGTATGTGACCACAGGGCCCTTTTTCTGTGATGAGTCTTGAACTGGTATCACTTGGAACACATTTTGGAAAAATTTGGGCTTGAGCATAAGATGCGTAGGAAGAGGTGATTTAAAAACCAAGTTAGGGGGTATCTGGGTAGCTCAGTAGTTGAGCATCTGCTTTTGGCTCAGGTTGTGATCCCGGGGTCCTGGAATCAGGTCCCCACGGGGAGCCTTCTTCTCCCTCTGCCTATGTGTCTGCCTCTCTCTGTGTCTTTCTTGAATAAATAAAATTAAAAAAATAAAAAATAAAAAGAACCAAGTTAGGAAGAAAAGCTGGTGGCTGGCTCATGAAAGGTCTTGGATATTCCCATTCCTCTAGGCAGTGGGAAACCATTGGGTAATTTTAAGCTATTGAATGAGATTAAATCTGAATTTTTAGTTATCTGTTAAGAGTGGGAAAATGGACTGGAGGGCATGTCATTGCATTCTTAAATTTTTCAGAGACACTGGTTTTTCTTTTGTTGTTGGAAAATTGGTTTTATTACAACGTTGAGTAGTCCCACATACATGACAGATAAACTTTATTAAATAACACATTTTATAAAAGCATTTAAAATACTCGAAGCTTTTATGATTTTATTTCTTGAATGTAAGTTTTGTTCATTTTGTTGTATTTTTTAAGATTTTTATTCATTTATTTGATTTTTTTATATTCATTTATTTGAGAGAGCATGAGCAGGGAGGAGGGGCAGAGGGAGAGACTCCCCATTGAGCAGGGAACCCAACTTGGCGCTCAATCCCAGGACCCGGAGATCATGACCTGAGCCACCCAGGTGCCCCCTGAAAGTGAGTTTTAAATGCATATTGTCCATAGTTCCTCCTACAGAATTTTCTCTCCACCTGCCAACTAAATATTAAGCAAAATTAAAAGCTCACATTTTACTCTTTTTTTGTGTTCCAGATGTTACATTACTGTATGCCACTGAACTGTATTTTTCCAAAGGTGATTGGGTTTTAGTTTTGCTAGGTCATTTGCTCCCATCTTTGTCACAGTAAAATGTAAAGTCATTACATTTCTAAGAGATAAAAGGTTAAAATAATATGATCAATAGATCTTTTTGCTAAAAAAATTTAAAATAGAGATTTAGCGACAAGGAATATGCAGGATGCAAGTCAGTCCAAGGAATTCTTTCAAGTTAATAAATTCAGAGATCTCAAATGTAGCACATCCAAAACTTAACACTTGCAGTCCTATCTCAGATAATGGCAGATCCCTTCTTTCAGTTGCTAAAGCCAAAAACCTTGATTCCTCTCATACCAAATATGCAGCCTGTCGGTAAATTCTGCTTGGTGCTACCTTTAGACTATATCCAGAATTTCATCACTTCACCACCCCTACCTACCTCCACCACCCTGGACCAACCTATTTGTTATGACAACAGCCATAGGTTCCTCAGTGACTTAGTGGGTTGAGCATCCAATTCTTGATTTTGGCTAAGGTGATGATCTCCAGGTGGTAAGATCAAGCCGTATGTGGGGCTCTGCACTCAGTGGAAGTCTGCTTGCAATTCTTCCTCTCCATGTCCCCATCCCCCCAACTAAGATAAATCAATCTTTAAAAAAAAAAAAAGACAGCCAGAGTGGGCCTGTTTAGATATGTCAGGTTATGTCACTCCTCTGCTCAGAGCCTCCAGTAGCTTCCTATCCCACCTATAATAACAAAGTCCATACTGTGATCAAGCAGTCCCTGTATAATCTGACCTCCTGTTACCTTTCTGACTTCATCTGCTTGTTCTCTTAATTGTTCACAATGATTTTCTCTGTTAGCCTCAAACAAACCTTACACATCTGGCCTTAGAAACATTTCACTTGCTATTCCTTCTGGAATTCTTTTACCTCATATCCACATGAACTCCTTCACTTTCTTTACATCTGTACTCAGATATTAACCACTTTTCCCTGACTACCTTAATTAAAATTTCAACCCTTGGATTCCAAAACTTCTGTCCTCTTTCCTACTTTATTTTGTTTTTTTTTAAGCACCTATGACTAACATTATATTTTACTTAATACTTGTTTTTTATCTTTCTCCAGTTTGTAAGCTCTGTGACAGCTAAGATTTTTGGTGTTAATTCATTAATGTATTCCAAGTACCTGACAAATAGTAGGTACTCAAAAAATACCCTGAAAAGAATGAATAAAAATCATAGACTGAAAAGTAATATATTTTCAAAGTAAAATAGAGGAAGCAGAAAGTAATTGTGTTGAAATTAAACTAAGTTCATTTAAAATAAGCAAATGTAAAAAAAAATAAGCAACTGTTTGCAAACATTTAGCTAAGACCACTTGCTCAACATCTGATGAATCTGTGTAACTCATTTTTCTTCCATGGTAACTCATTGTAACTTACATTATAATGGCTAAGGGTAGTGTTTTAGAGTAATGTATTTGTAGATCCTGTGTACATAGTATATGGTAAAAAAGGAAACAAAGTTTCTTATCTGGAGTGATTCACTGTAGGCCTGCCATACATGATATAGCCACATTGCTCTGAGAAATGCAGGATAAGTCTCGTTTTCTTTTTTAATGGTAGTAAAATACACATAACGTAAAATTTACCATGCTAATCATTTTTTTTAATTTATTTATTTATGATAGTTACAGAGAGAGAGAGAGAGAGAGAGAGAGAGAGAGGCAGAGACATAGGCAGAGGGAGAAGCAGGCTCCATG